TTATGCCGGGCCTTATATTCGTGGACCATAGTCCTCCAGTGCTGTCCCTGCAGAACTCTTTGCTGGGTAGGGGAAGGCTGGACCAGGCAGGGCAGGGCTAGGAAAGGCAGGGCAGGGCTGGGCAGGGCAGTGCAAGGTAGAGGGAATGGAGTTTGTCGCAGGGAGATAAGGCCAGCAGGTCATTTACAAGAGCAGTGATTAGGTTCCTAGCTAATCAGCGCGGTCCATCCTTCTGGCCACGGGGACTGGTTCCAGACGGACATGTGACCAAAGCGAGGCCAATGAGATGGAAACCTGAGACTTTTCAGTTGGAGTAAAGCTCAGAGTGTGCCCATGTTGCTGCTGGGGTTATCTTGGCACTCAACAGAGAAGCTTGCTGAGAGAGCTGAGAGGCAAAGGATCAAACGAGGATGTGATTTGAGCCACTGGATCCAGCTATGCCTGAATGATACATCCACTGGATGTTTCTGTTCATGAGTCAGTAAATGCCCTCATTTGCACCAGCTAGTTTCGTTTGGGTTCTCTGTCCTCTGCAACTGAAAGATGCCTGTCAGAAGCAGTTTGGTTCTCACCGGGGCCAGCATCAAGGCAGTAAATCCAGTAGCTCTGTGAGGCTAGTCCCATTACTCTGCTGGGGAGACTGAGGACACTCCGAGCTAGCAGCCACTGGTTCCACATGGAGATCTTGGGCTGAGGACTGTTTCTCTCTTCTGGCTGAAACTCAGACCTGTCTCCTGCCCTAGCCCTGAGGGACCCTGAGTGTCTCCTGTCATGAGTGCACGCCGTCCTGGGAAATGTGGGCCAATGATCACCTCCAAGCTTCTTCCTTTGTGGGAGGGGGATTAACAATGCAGATACCCTCTCTGTCCGTCATTCCCCCACATTGGTCCCTTCCTCCCACTCCCCTGATGTCTCTCCGTGGCTCAACCTCCCACTCTCCCTGGCAGGTGATGTCTGGAGCCTGCCAGGCGCCCCCAAGCCTCACCATCAGGCATTTACATCTATCTAGGGCTGGGGCCTGTTCTACCCAAAGTGCCAGGGAACTCAGATCCTGCAGCCTCAGCCCTGAACCAGTGCCTGAGGGAGGGAGTTGGAGAATCAATAACCCAGCTCCCTCACCCCTCAGGTAGGACGTGTGTCCTACAAAATCTGCCAGCACTCCCCAGCAGAACCGAGCCCTATGCCTCTGGTGGGAACTTGTTTGATAACAAGCGTGACAAACCGTCCCAATTTGCCCAGGACTAAGGGTTTCCTGGGACTCAGGGTTTTGAGTGCTAAAACTGGCGAGTTCTAGGCAAGTTGATTACCCCGGAGATAACTCGTCATTGACTACTTCTTTCCTTCCCTCTGTCATTTCCCTGCTCCCCTACAGCTTCTTTGTCCAAGACAAATGCACTCAATCCTTGTCTCAAGCTCTGCTTCTGGAAAACCTCC